AATCAAACTCAAGGAGGTAAAGTAGAAATTAACTTGACTTTGGAAATCAACTCACGAAATTGGCCCAACAGATGTGCCTTGGTGAAGATGTCAGCAATCTGATCAAATGAAGAAACAGAGGCAAGATGAACAATGCTTCGAACCACATGTTATCGCACAAAATGACATTCAATCTCAATATGCTTGGTGTGATTATGCAAAATATCAATGTGAGCAATTTGTATTGCACTTCGATTATCACAACAAAGAATAGTAGCACTAGAATGAGAGAAATCTTCTAAGAGCCAATGAAGCCAAAAAAAAAGCTCCTAGGAAGTGTCAACAAGAGAGTAGTACTCTGCCTCTGTATTGGATCGAGAGATAACAGATTGTTTCTTACTTCACTAAGGGAAAAAAAACAGTAACCAGTGGTAGAACGACGATCAGTAGGATCTCCAGCCCAGCTAACATTAGAATAGGTTTGTAGCTCATGAGATGAATGAGTAGATTAATAAAGACCATGAAAGATAGTACCCTTAATATATGTTAGAATACTATGATCAACATCATAATAAGTATAACGTGGGGCAGTCAAAAATTGGTTGACATGATAAAAAACGTAGGCTATATCCAGGAGAGTAACAATGAGATAAACAAGACAGTCTACCAACTAGTGATAAAGAGTGGCGTCAGGAAGAGATGTGTTATCCAAGGTAGTAAGGCAAACATTTTGCTTTAATGGGGGTAGGTATAGTCTTGCAATCAGTGAGTCCAACACGAATAAGAAGATCATAAGCTTATTTAGCTTCAGAGAGATAATACCCACTAGAGTCAGATGACATCTCAAGGCCCAAGAAGTAGCTAAGAGAACCAAAATCCTTCATCTCAAAATGTGTATTGCGAAAATGTTTGAGATCAGAAATATCATCCTCCGTGATAATTATATCATTCACATAGAGAAGAAATAGAGTAGTGCCACGTTTAGTCTTACGAATAAAGAGAACCGAGTCATAAGGGCTAGAAGAGAAACCAAAATCTCAAATAGTAGCACTAAACTTTGCAAATTAAGCTCTAGAGGCTTGCTTGAGACCATAGAATGCATGACAGAATCAACAAACCTAATTTGATTAATGAGGATACTTAGGAGGAGGCTGCATGTAGACTTTTTTAGTAAGCATACGAAATTGAGAAATGTATTTTTGACATCCATTTGATATAATTTCCTCAAGTGAATGGTAGCAATAGTTAGTAGGCTTCAAATTGAAGTGGGAAGAGCAATGGGAGCAAAAGTCTCCTCATAATCAATACCATACTCCTGTGTAAGACCCTTCGCCACTAGACAAGTCTTGTAACACTCAACAGAACCATCAGAGCAAGTATTCATCTTATAAACCTATTTACAACTAATAGATATTTTACTAGGGGGCAGATCAACCAAATCCCAAATATGTATGTCAACAAGCCCCTATAACTCTTCTGCCATTGCTTGCTATCAAAGAGGGTCAAAGTTAGCCTTACGATAAGAGTAAGGTTCACTCTAAGAAAGAATAGTGGAGAAAAAATGATAATCATGCAAACAAACAGAAATGTTCCTTACTCAAGTGGAATAGCATTGTTGATAAGCAGGAGAATGAATATCACCAGGAAATGGTGTAGAGGGTTCAGGAGTTAAGGCATGGTCACTAGTAGTATGAAGTGGGGTAGAAGTAGGATCAGGATCAGCAGGCATGACAAAAACCTCTAGATGGTCTGTAAATGAAAGCATAGATGAGTATGGATGTGGGTCATCAGGATATAGATCCGTAGATGGATCAATAAAGAGAGGAGAAATAGGGGCAGACGAAAGCTGAAACTGAGACAAGGACGAGAACATCTTGTATTCCCAGAAGAAGACATGTTGAGAAACACGAAGACGCTTGGAATATGGATCTCAATAATGATAACTCTTAAGTTCAATACCATAACTCAAGAAAAAACAAAGTCATGCCCGATGTTCCAACTTGGTACCCTTATGAGATTGGAGTAAGACTAAACATGCACAACCAAAGACTCGACGAGACTGATAATAAGGGGAAGTTTCATACAATCGCTCATATAGAGATTGATTGTCAATAATATGAGAGGGAATATGATTGATGGTANGTCATACAATCAATCATATAGAGATTGATTGTCAATAATAGGAGAGGGAATATGATTGATGGTATAGACAACAATAAGAGCAACTTTACCCAAAAAATGCAAAAGACATGAAGAAGAGATGAGAAGAGCACAAACAGTATCAAGAATATGATGATGTTTGTGCTCAACATGTTCATTTTGTTGAGATGTTGCAGGAAAAGAATGATGAGGAATGGTGCCATGTTGACTAAGAAATTTAAGGAAGGTGGTGTCTCTATATTCCATGGCATTATTGCTTGACAAAATTCCTTGTTGTTTCCTAACCTCTAAGCATCACCTTTTAGCATGTAGAGTATATGAATGAAAGGGAGTGTCACTCTCCTAGGGATGATGTCAAAAGAAATGGCAACGGAATGGTGGATGAATGAGATTTCACATGTGAGTATGTGTGAACAAAAGTGCTCTCCAAGCGCAAGGAGACTTTCATGAATCGTGTTTTACCTGGTGATATTCCAAGGTCGTTTCCACAGGGAAGGAAGTAAACCGAGGAGAAGGTGATTTTGGGAGAAAGAAAGTGTAAAATCTTTGATTGTTGGAAGTTGTTTAGTGAAGTTGTTTTGATGCTAGTAAAATGAAAAACAAATGTTGGTAAATCCAAGAGGTCACTCCAATAGGAATACCGTCTCAACTCGAAACCCTCCTCCAATAGAGCATGAATGAACGATTGATTCGTGGGAAGCTAGGGGTAAGATTGGTGAGTATCTAAGCATAAACCGTGACTAGGCCTACGGAATATCAAAGACTCACCAAGTTATCCACCCTCAACCCAGTCAAACCGAACCATTGAACTCTGAAAGAGGGGAGGAGAATGAGTTGAAATGGTATACCCAAGTGGAGGTTCCTCTTGGTTTTGCCAACTAAGAGATTTAGCTATTCATGCTTAAAATAAAGACAACAATATGATGAGAAGACATTATGAAAAAATAAAGACTAAAGCTAAGCATAAACGAATTGCATAAATTTAACTTCCGGATAACCACCTCTTACTAAAGATTGGATGAGAAACTACTCACTCTTCATGGCTTTGTTAAAACTAGAAAAGTGAGTGATGCTCATCCCTCCAAGTAGAGGAGTTACAAGGTAACACATTTTACACAAGGAGCCGATCTTCGACAAAGAATGAGTGAATCACGTTCCACCCTTCACGGC